CTCTCCTTCCCTCCTGTTTATCAAATTAAGGGACTAGTCTTCTTTACATAATTTTCTAAAAATATTTTGTATGCTCCACAAAATTCTTCCAGCCTTTGCCCTCTGTTCAATTACAAATCCAAGTCTAAAATGTTTAGTTGTAGCTGAAACCGGTTTGGCTCAGTGGATAGAGCGTCGGCCTGTGGACTCAAAGGTCCCAGGTTCGATTCTGGTCAAGGGCATGTACCTTGGTTGCGGGCATATCCCCAGTAGGAGATGTGCAGGAGGCAGCTGATCGATGTTTCTCTCTCATCGATGTTTCTAACTCTCTATCTCTCTCCCTTCCTCTCTGTAAAAAATCAATAAAATATATTTTTAAAATGTTTAGTTGTATATTATAACAGCACCCCATTTCCAGGTAGAAAAATCTGTATTACTTTATATTGACTGCTCAATTGTTTGCTTTACTGGTTACTTTAGGGTTGACGGTCTTGTTTTTAATGAATGCAGTCATATTCAAGTGACATTAAATCACTTCACGTACATGAACCTTCAAATAATAGGCTTTCATTTCTCCCTTTCCAGCCTTTGAGCTATTGTTTTCATACACATCATATGGCTTACTACATATAATATAAATTGCACAACACATTGTTATTAGTTTTTCTGTAAACTATTACCTTTTTTAAAAAAATTCTCTATTGTTTAAAGTATTACATGAGTCTCCTTTTTTCCCCATTGACCTCTCCCCTGCCACCTCCACCCCCAAGCGGAAGCCCTTTTAAAGAGATTTAAATAATAAGAAAAACAGTCTTTATATTTACTCATGCAATTATGGTTTCTGGTGCTCATCTTTAATTTCTGTATTTCTTATTTATGTCTGATACCATTTTTCTTCTGCTTAAAGGATTCTTTTATCATTTTCTTTTTCATTGTGCAGTTTTCCTAGTGATGTATACTTTTAACTCTTTGATTTCTAAAAAACATATTTTATGCCTTCAATTTTGAAAGATATTTCTTTTGGATAATGAATTCCAGGCTGATGTTTTTCTTCCAGTACTTTAAAGATTTTGCTCTTCCTTCCTCCCTCCCTCCCTCCCTCCCTCCCTCCCTCCTTCCCTCCCTCCCTCCTCCCTCCCTTCCTTCCTTCCTTCCTTCCTTCCTTCCTTCCTTCCTTCCTTCCTTCCTTCCTCCCTTCCTTCCCTTCCTTCCCTTCCTTCCCTTCCTTCCCTTCCTTTCCTTCCTTTCCTTCCTTTCCTCCTCCCTCCCTCTCTTCCTTTTTTCCTCACCCAAGGATATTTTTCCATTGATTTTTAGGGAGAGTGGAAGAGAGAGGGAAAGACAGAGAGAAACATCAAGGTGAGAGAAACACATCAATTCGTTGCCTCCTGCACAGGCCCTGAGAGAAGCCTGCAACCAAATAATGTGCCCTTGACTGGAATAGAACTGAGACCCTTTGGTCCACAGGCTTAGGCTCTATCCACTGAGCAAAACTGGCGAGGGCTACTTGTATTGTTTCTGATAAGAAGAAGTCTTCTGTCCTCCTTATTCTTGTATGTAGTCTGCTTTTCTCTTCAGTATTCTTTTAAGATTTTACCACTGCTTTTAAATAATTTTATTATGATACTAGTGGCCTGGGGTGGGAACGGGCCTAAACCAGCAGTCGGACATCCCTCTCACAATCTGGGACTGCTGGCTCCTAACCACTTACCTACCTGCCTGATTGCCCCTAACCGCTTCTGCCTGCCAGCCTGATCACCTCCTAACCACTCCCCTGCTGGCCTGATCACCCCCAAGGCTTTTATTAGTATAGATATGACCCTTCACAGAAAATTTCACTAACCTTGCTTTTTATAATAAGGGCTTTATGATTGAATCATTGGGTCCATACACCAAGATTTCCTTTCTTTGAATAGTGAAGGGAATAATTATCTTGTCTTTAAGTTGCCCTGAACATCAAATGAGATAATGACTTAGAAAGTATAAAAGCACCATATAAAGACAACTGTCTTTTTCATTTACTGAAAAGACAATAAAGTGGTAAAATGAAAAACACTATTTCTATTTTCCCCCTTCCTTCCTTTACAGCCTTTATTTAAACTTTGAAATTCATAAAAATTTCACTCCTATTTTCATTTCTTTACATTCAATATTATTTTATATTAGTTTCAGGTTTTATATTAGTTACAGAATAGAGGTTAGACAATCATATTCTTTACAAAGTGTTCCCCAATATTCCAGTACCCACCTGGCATCATACCATCATTACAACACTGTTGACTATATTCTCTATTTAAATGACAATAGGTTTGCAGGTTCCTTCCAGTCTTTCTTTTGTGTTTCTCGCCCTTCCTTTTCTTTCTCATTTCTTCCCTCATTTTCTTTATATAGTATTTCAATTGGCCCTCAAAGCTCAGTGAAGGCACTGGGACATGCTTAATCCATTTTTCAGACCAGGAAACAGGCCAATTCCAGTTGGCTATGGAACTAGGCTCAGCGCACAGGGAGCCCTCACAACTGCGCTGTCCGCCTTTCCTAAGGGACAGTCGAGGTCCTCGCAAATAGAAAAAACCTCCCTGTGAGGCTTCTGAGCCTCGTTCTCAAGCACCTTTTCATCCTGTATGCTCCACATTCTTTCCTCTCCCCCGTCCCCTGCTGCCATTCTTTACTGCCCGCCAACCCCCCCCCCCCCCCCCCCCCCCCCCCCCCCCCCCCCCCCCCCCCCCCCCCCCCCCCCGCTTCTGAAGAGCACATGGTAGGCTTCGCACTCACCATGAAGATGCGTGCCTCCGTGGGACTGGGTGGGAACTGGGGGTGGGGCGGGAATTGGCTTGCTTTTGGGCCAAGGCGGGAGCAGGAGTCCTGGCCTCTCAAGTGCGCAGGCCATGGCAAGGCAGGTTAGCACCGGGAGTTTCCCCGAACCGCTGTAGTGGGGTACCTGGCAGTGCGGTGCCCCTCCACTGAGGTGGCGTCGCCCCTCAACACCCGCCTCAGGGCTGCGAGTCCGCGCCCCTTCGCCCAGGCATCCTTCCACACTGGCTGTCATCGCCTCTTGTTTCCCGCATCTTTGGGCCACTGCAGAACCTCGCTCTCCTGGGCGAGGCAGATCCCCGCCCACCGGCCCCCTGCCCCAGCCTGAGCCCCCTCCTCTGCACCCCACCTTGGCGCCGCTCTGCGCCCCTTGGACTGCCTGCCTCCTGGACAGCTGCTTTACTGAAGCTGCCCCTCAGGCGGAGGCCTGTTCATGCGCCTGCAGACCCCCTGGCAGGCCGCCGGCTCCAGGCCCGCTGCATCGCGGAAGCTTCCTCCTCCTTCAGGTGCTCTTCTCAGACCCCTGGGAGCTTGGCTCTGGCAGCCCTGTCCCTCCATGGCTTCCTGCAGCCCCTGCTCCACTTTGCTTTCCCGGGCCACCTGTCAGGACACTGCCAGGGTGCCCTGCTGCAGGCAGCGTGGTCCTGGGGTATGGGGTGGGGTTTTGGGGAGCAGATCCAGTGAAGTTAATAAACCCCAGGTCAGCATTGGGATTTGGCTGTAGGCTGCGGGAGAATCTGCCTGGGTGGGACGAAATCAGGCATAGACCCTGAGTGCCGCCCACCTGTGAACGGTGGTGATGTGATGGCATCCCAGACAAATTTGCATATTCCTCCATTATATATAGAGATATATTAAGTAATTGTTTTATATTATTGTGGTTTTGTGCATAGTTTTCCTCAAATTTGAAAAGCATTTAGCCATTATTTATTTAAATACTTTTCCTTACCCCTTCTCTTCATCATGAATTACAATTATAAGCACATTAGTTCACTTGAAATTGTCCTACAGCTCACTCATGATCTGTTCATTATTTTTTAGTCTTTTTTCCTTTCATTATTTTAGCATTTTGATTGCCAACATGTATTAAACTTTTCTGAATACTAAGTATATCCAAAGATTCATATTTAAGTTAGAAAATATTATTCGGGGGCCTTAACAATTCTCATTAAGAATTTATTCTATTTATTTTTCATATTTTATGAGAAATTGTTATACTTTATGTTTAATTTGTGAGAACTTTTCCACTGTTGTGAATTTGATATCTGTTGGAAGTTGTGGGCTGAAACAGGAAATAACCACCTAATACTTTAATAGGTCTCCTATATTAAGCACATCTAAAATTTTCAATAATCTAATTTTTCTCTACTTTCTTGAATAAAATAATCTGGTACTATGTGGTAGTTCAAGAATACTTTAAAACATGTAGTCAGTAGTGCCATAATATTTGTTTTGAAATGCAAATTTGAACACAGTTGAACAATTTGAGCATAATGTGAATTTTATATTTGCTTTATGCTCATTTTATCTCCAAAAAGTATAGATAAAGGCAGAAAAGAGTATCTATAAGCTACCTTAGTTCACCGTGTATATAGTGTACCACACCAGTTCATATCTGGTGTTACGACTTTTCATTTTGTTTCAGATAACCAACCTTCCAACACTGCACAAAAATTCACAAGTTGCAACCTATTCAACACTCACTTCCACAAACTAACTCGTGTCTTTTTCAAGATAAAAAGCTATGTTTTTCATAGTAAATGTTTTGTAATTATTTAACTGTATAAAACTGTATTAATGTTTTTATTAGGTTGTTATTTTAAAAAATGTATCACTGACAACTTTTTTGTGCGCTGTGCACCTAACCCTACTTCCCCATACATCCTGCAGTTTATATTGCATGAGTTTTCAAGGTGAGGTGGTTTTCATGAAGGTATATACCATATTATAGAAGAACTGACTATAATTTATTGGGGGAATTCAATTATTTTTATATGTGTTAACTTATATACAACTTACATTATGTAAAACACTATAATAAACATTCTGAATGTATCATTAATTTTTTCCTTTTATTCAGATAATTTTCCTTGAAAAACAGTATAGTGATTCTCAATGTAAAATGGAAATCTTAATAATGTTTATTATCATATATTTCCCTATAATTTATTGTCTCATTAATGTTTTCTGGCTTATATAAAATTACACAGACAACAAAGCCGACATATGATCGAACAAAGAAAACTATGAAAATGGAGAAGAAAAAAGCTAAAGAAAAATCTGAGGATTCAGAACCGTAAGACATAAAGATACAATGCTAATGTTTTCTTTCCTTGTTAATTTACATTTTTATTTTATACAATTTGAGGTAATATAAACATAACTTATTAATAGGTTTCTTAAAAAAATAACATTAGCAAATATAGTCATGAGCCATATTACAACAACATATTGGTCAACAACAGATGACATGGGCAGTGGTCCCAAAATATTATAATGAGCTGAAAAATTCCTATCACGTGGTGATATTGTAGATGTTGTAATGTCATAGTACATCACATTACTCTGTTTGTGATGATGCTGGTGTAACAAACCTACTGCACTGCCAATCGTAAGAAAATATAGCATATACAACTTTGTACAGTAGATGATATTGATAATGATAATAAATGACTATGTATTTACAATTTTTATTGTTATTTCAGAGTATACTCTTTCTACTTATAAAAAATGTTTATTGTAAAACAATATGTCATGTTATGCTGGAAGCAACCTCATATATATTCATGTTACTGTGTCTCTTAGTTGCATAATTTTCTCTTATGCTTTATTTAATCTCATGTTATTTATGTTTCATGTAGCATAAGTATCTACACTAATAAAAAAGAAACATGCAAATTAACCATCATTCCGCCACTCTGCTAAACCCACCAGCAAATCAGGAGCAAGTATGCAAATTAACCCAACTAAGATGGCAGCGGCCATGGAGCTGGAGCAAGCAGGCAGCTTGGGTTGCCTCCAGCGATGGAGGAAGCCAAACTTCCCTCCTGCCCTGGCCAGCCCTGGGCTCCGCTCAAGACTACAAAGTTTTAATTATAGAAGATAAATAAATCCCAGATACCTGCTTCCAGCCCACCCTGACCTCTTCTCAAGGAGGTGCTGGAGAAAAAAAAGAAAAAGGAAAAAAAGGAGAGGCTGGGAGCTTGGGTCACCAGGGGACATGGGCAGCCTGAAAATGGCCATCAGCCCCTGACCCAGGCTGGCCAGGCACCCCAGCAAGACCCCCCCCCCCCCATGCTGAAGGGGCTGTGGGCAGCCTGAAAACGGCCCTCAGCCCCTCACCAAGGCTGGCCAGACACCCCAATGGGGACCCCCACCCTGAAGGGGGTGTGGCCAGCCTGAAAACGGCCCTCAGCCCCTCATCCAGGCTGGCCAGGCACCCCAGCGGGACACCCCCCCACCCTGAAGGGGCTGTGGCCAGCCTGCAAACAGCCATCAGCCCCTCACCCAGGCTGGCCAGGCACCCCAGCGGGCCCCCACCCTGATCCAAGACACCCTTCAGGGCAAACCAGCTGGCCCCCACACATGCACCAGGCCTCTATCTATAATAAAAGGGTAATATGCTAATTAGACTGAGAGACCTTCCAGGAGACCTTCCAGATGTTCTTCTGGACAAAGCCATGGTGGCGGGGCTGAGGTAAAGGTGGTTAGAGGCTAAGAGGGGAGGGCAGTTGTGGGTGATCAGGCCAGGATGGGACGGCCATTGTGGGTGATCAGGCTGATGGGGAGCGAGGCCATTGGGGGTAAGCAGACCAGCTGGTGGGCCAGTTGGGGGTGAGCAGGCCATCAGTGGGGGTCAGTTCGAAATGATCAGGGCAGCTGGGGGGGGGGCAATTTGGAGTGAGCAGGCCAGCAGGGAGGCAGTTGGGGGCAAGCAGGCCAGTGGGGAGGGACAATCAGGGAAGAAGGCAGGCAGGCAGGTGAGTGGTTATGAGCCAGCAGTCCCAGATTGTGAGAGTGATGTCCAACTGCTGGTTTAGGCCCGATCCCTGTAAACCGGCAGTAGGACATCCTTTGAGGGGTCCCATATTGGAGAGGGTGCAGGCCAGGCTGAGGGACACCACCCCCCCCCCCTCCATGCACCGGGCCATTAATAGTGTTTATAAAATCTACAGTATTGTACAGTAATGTTCTAGTCCTCATGTTCGCTCACCACTCACTCACCTACCCAGAGCAACTTCCAGTTCTCCAAGCTACATTTATGATCAGTGCCCTACATGGATGTACCATTGTAAATTTTTATACTATATTTTTACTGTATCTTTTCTATATTTATATATATTTAGGTACACAAGTACTATTGTGTTACAACTGTGTACAGTATTCAGCACAGTAACATGCTACATAGGTCTGTAGCCCAGGAGCAATAGGCCTAGGTGTGTAGGTGGCTGTACCATCTATGTTTGTGTCAGTGCATACTCTCTGATGTTTGTACAATAATAAAATCACCTAACAATGGATTTTTCAGAATGTATCCTTATTGTTGGTGATGCATTACTATATATAGTTTTATAAGCAAATAAGGATATGATTGTGGGAGAAAGCTGAGAAGTGAAGCATGAACTAAAGAGGAGGAGAATGAACCACAAAACATTTAGGAACAGGCAGGCAGAATTAAATTTGTAAATAGTTTTAGGGGAAAGAATTTACATTGTGTCCTTGATGGTTTAGCTAATGATTTGTAATTTGTACATTAACTCCCTAGTCTGGGCTATGATTTTTTATTTTTAACTGAAATTCTTGCTTTTTTTAAAATTATCAACCAAGGATATATTTTTTAAATTGATTTTAGAGAGCGAGGAAGGGAGAAATGGGGAGAAATAGAGAGAGACATTAATGTGAGAGAGAAATATCAATCAGTTGCCTCCCATACATGCCCTGACTGGGGATCAAACCCATAACCTTTTAGTGTATGGGAAGACACTCCATCCACCTGAGCCACCCAGCCAGGGCTTTACAGACTTCTTCATTGTACTTATTTTATAAAAACAATTACCTATATTTTAATGTAAATGGATTTTATAAACTGGTCTTATTAAATGAATACCATCTTTAGTAAAATAAAATAACTTTTGCATTTAAATTGGATTGGTCAAGCCCTTATATAAATATATAGTTTAAAAAGAAATGAAGAATTCCATGTTTATGCAGCTCCACAAAATCTATAAAGAAATTTATTGGACAAATGACTTTGATCTTTGACTTAGCAAAGAAAAGATGACCAGAGGGAAAAAAATGGACCAATGTATTTTGAAACTCCTTGCCCTATCTCATCTTTCCATATTTTAATCATAGCAATGAGAAGTTCATTTGAGAAATGTTATTTAATTATTTATCATTTAACCTATGTGGAGTTTATGGCTTTTAAAAATATATAAATTTCTTTTAAAGATATTCATTTTTATAAAGGGTTTAATTAAACATTTAAAAATTAGCTGTGCAATTAAAAAATATCATGATATATTTTAAAACATTTTTAATTACAGGAAAAAGTCTCCAGCCAAAGAGCTTAAAACAGAATTCCTTAAAGCCCAGGTAATACACTCTCTTTATGCCTCTAAATTTGATTAATAAGTGCACTGATAATTATATGTATAGACAGTATTGGTATGCACATGAACATAAGTGTGTATGTGTATCTGTGTATATAGTGTACTGAAGTTCTTTCTAAGATATGTCTTTCTTGTTGGTTGACTCTTCTTAGTAAGTTTCACAAAATAAAATGCTAAGTCTAGGAATGTTTATTGTCAAGGTTATGAAAATTATGTTTTACTCAACCATAGGCAATATCATGGAGGAAAGAATATCATATTGGTAGTCAACAGGGACTTACTAGTTATGTGACATTGGACAAGTCCCTTTTTTTCTGGACCTAAACAAATATTCATTAACTAGCAGCCCAGTGCATGAAATTCATGTACTGGGGAGGGGGGAGTTGTCCCTCAGCCCAGCCTATGCCCTTTCGCAATCCGGGACCCCTTGGGTATGGTCCCTAGCCTGGCCGGTGATCAGGGCTTATTGGGGCTTTCCTTCCCCCAGCTGCTAGCACTGCCGCTGCCACTGCTTGCCATCTGTGAGGTGCTGCCCCATCTCCCCTGCCACCAATCGTCTCCTTCTGTGGGCAACAGGCATGGGGTGTAATCGCTTGGCTGGCCTGGGACTCCCTTTGTGGGGTGATCAATTGTTGGGCTCTGTGATCAATTTTCCCGCAGAGGGAGGCCCCGCCCACCTGGCCGGGGCTCCACAATCGACTGCCATGTAGAGGGTGGCCTGTGCCTCCCTCTTTGGGGTGAACAATTAATCACAGAGCCCCCCAATTGATCGCCCCACAGAGGGTGAACTGAGCTTCCTCTGTGGGGCGATTGTGGGGTGATGGTAGGGCCCCCAGACCAATCACCTTGCACCTGCCTTGGCTGGCCTGGTGCCAGTGTGTGTAATAGCATGGTTATCCGGAAGGTCATTCTGCTGTTTGGTTTTTCGGTTGATTTGTATATTATGCTTTTATTATTATAGATAATGAAAGGTTTGCTCTTACAAAGATATATCATGTATCTGTTTTTGTCTTTATATATCTACTAGAGGCCCGGTGCACGAAATTAGTGTACAGTGTGGGGGGAGTGGTCCCTCAGCCTGGCCTGCACCTCTCCAATCTGGGATCCCTCTCGCAACCCGGGACCGCTGGCTCCTAACCGCTCACCTGCACACCTGCCTGATAGCCCCTAACTGCCTCTGCTTGCCAGCCTGGTCACCCCTAACTGCCCGCCCCTGCTGGCCTGGTCACCCCTAACTACCCTCCCCTGCTGGCCTGGTCACCCTAACTGCCCTCCCCTACCAGCCTGGTCATCCCTAATTGCCTTCTCCTACCAGCCTGGTGGCCCTTAACTGCCTTCCCCTGCTGGGCTGGTCGCGCCTAATTGCCCTCTCCTGCTGACCTGGTCGCCACTAACCACCTCTGTCTCAGCACCTGCCACCGTGGCGTTGTCCAGAAGGACATGTGGATGGATGTCCAGATGACGACTGGTCTAATGAGCATGTTACCTTTTTATTAGTATAGATACTAGTGGCCCAATACATGAAAATTCGTGTACTTGGGGGGATCGCAGTCTGGGACCCCTTGAGAGATGTCCATCTGCTAGCTTAGGCCTGCTCTCCTGGGGATTGGGCCTAAGCTGGCAGTCAGATATCCCTCTGGCAACATAGGAGTGCCTCGGGGATGTCCAACTGACAGACGTCCTT